AGTGAGTAGGGCTTCCTGCGGCAGCCGAATACCGTGAACCATGCACGGTCAATTGCGAGCAACCAAACAGGGGATAAATTGCCTCTACGGTTAGTTAGTTATAAAGTAGGAAGACCCCAAGGGAAGGAGACAATCCACGGAAGATATTCAAGTCCTACATTCCACTTATTCCGAATCAATTGCGTGCGATACGTCACCGGATCTGGGAAACGAAAACCGTCACAAAATATTGGGATAAATCTGCTACCTATCTCCAAAAAAGTGACAAGACTGTGTGAGTGAACTGCCGGGGTATCATTCTGATCAACAAAGTAACCAAGTTGCTCGCAATGGTGTTGGCGAATCACTTTGCAGCACCAAGAGACGCCCACTCGCGCAAACTCAGGCGGTTTTCGCTGTGGTTGGGGTTGTGTTGATCAAGAATTTGCTCTCCATCGAATATTGAAACAGCGCAACAAGTTCCAGTAGCCAATGACAGTCCGCCTTATGGAATTTCACTCAGCCTTTAATTCCGTCCACCAAAAGCTGCTGTGGTACATAACGAAAGTATATGGAATACTTACGAAGGCCTACGGCTCGGACACCGGAGTGGGAGTCTGAGACTACAGAGAGCAGAGTCTGAAAACCCTCTTAATCTCAGGGGTTCGACAAGTCTGTCCACCCTCCTCGGTACTGTTCTAGCCTTTGACTAGACGAACAACCACATATTCGCTGATTACCCGGGAGGGCAACTTGGATCGAATAACGGGAATGCATATCTCGAGTTTGCGGATGACATTGTCGATCTCGAAGACATTCCGAACAACCAACAAGGTTCAGTGTGTACAACCATTAACCATGCATTGTTATTTGCCGGTTTTGGTTGCAGTCTTCTGGCTGTCCGTTTGGATGAAAGAGCAAAGGGAAGAAATGAATGTTGCTAGCAGAGTCAAAAAAGATAAATAATTAACATGAACTAAGGTTGCAAGGATGATGTGTAGAGGCGCGAGCACATCAGCATAATCGTCGTACAGCGAAATACAATGAAGCGAACTTCACTGATCACTGCTAAACTCGCAATGCATACGTGCTTAGTGGTAATATTTAAGATGGACAGCGATTGGACTTATTTTGAGGGCGAGGGAAAGAAGGTGAACCTCTATGGTCAACATACAGAGTATACAGTCTAACTGTGTATACACACCATTTCACGCTTCCTAGCTTGATAAGAAATGAAACAAGAACGCCACTGGTGTCGGTTCGCTGCCATATCCTTCAATGTCTCCAACCAATCAGTTGCAAAGTCTTTCAGACCCCAACCTGGAAGGCACGAGACAACTGCCCTACCTAATAGCTCTGTGCATTGGTTCATGCCTCGTCTCCACTTCATCTGTTAACCTCCACTTGCTTTCCTCCAACCCGGAGCGATTACAGCGAATAAAGCGCAGAGCGGCAGACGACAGCTGGGCATATGCAATACGTACCCTAGCCAACGAAGCTTACTAATCTGAATTCTATGAACTAGCAAGTTAATCCCCGATAAACTCCCAAATGCGACGGCTT